GCTTGCGCTGCTGGCGGTGGCAGCAGCAGAGGTGTGATGGGATGTCGCGCCTTCCCCTGATCACTGGGTCACCTCTCACCCCTGAGGGCTCCCGGACTGTGAGAGGGGGCAGGCCGAGCAGAGAGACGCCCCCCCCTCCAGTGCATGAATTTTCATGCACCAGGCCTCTAGTGTATTATGATCTGTGATCAGTGAACTTTGATGTTACTATTGTAATTATTTTGGGGCACCACAAACCATGCCCATATAAGATGGTGAATTTAATGGGTAAATGTGTGTGTTCTAACAGCTCCACTGACTGGCTGTTCTTTTCCTTGGGCCTCCCTACTCCCTGAGACACAATACTTAAATTAGGCCAACTAATAACCCTAATAAAGCTAGAAATGAACAAGCTTAGTGAGGAAGACATACTGAAAGCTGAGATGGGCCAAAAACTAAACCTCTTGTACCAGTTAGCCAAGTTGCACTGGGAAACCAAAAAATTCATGACTCACTTTATTGCAGTGGTCTGGAAATGAGCCGTTTACAATACTTCTGAGGTATGCCAGTAATGTATACCATTAAATGGAGGTGAAATTCAACAGAAAAGATTTTGTAAAAAGAGACCACCTCATGGGCATCCTTATGCCCCAAACTCTCCCCTAAGCCTGATCCATATTCCATAACCTACTGTTACTAGAGAACCCACTATGCTGTTGGAGCCCTCATCCTCCAGCCAATGCCTTGGAAATGCCCATTACTGTGCCATCTACTCTCTCCAACTTTCCTAGAAGCAGACTTCCACTGATGCTGTAGATCTCCCAAGTGAACATGTAAGAGTGACTCCAGGGGTTGCGCTAAGTTAGCAGTGCAACCGCAGTCAAATGCCAGCACCATCAGCAGCTAAACCGCTTCTTCTGCCACATTTAGGCCCTCTGGCTGAGCAGCAGTTGATGGAGGCTGGTTGGCACAAAACAACACAGCTCCCCAGGGCCAGGGGAGGCACATGTGAGGCCTAGGCCAGTCCTCTTGGTTCAGAAGCCAATGACAATGGCAACTTCAAGAAAGGAGGAATCTATGTATTGGGGGAGGAAATAGGTAGGAGGGAGGTGACCAAGTTTACTGTCATGGGCACTAACAATTAGAATGGATGCAAGAGCACAGTCCTTGGGTCTCCTGCTATGCCAAATATTAACAGTTTGTTAGGTCATTGGGAGGAACTGGGCTGAAAATGGGGTGCACCTAGAAGAGAGGGGTCTACAAGTAGGGAAGGACTTTTTTTTAAGTTTGTTAGGTTTTTTTTAAAAGTAAGTAAAGCTGTTTTCGCCCTTAAAAGGACCCAAAAGTAGAAATTCAGAAAGCTCTCAGGAAGGACTGAAAGTGCACCAGCTTCCAAGTTTATATACAATAGCTTCAGCCACAAAGAAATGAGCTTTCTTCTTCCAAGCACAATTCTAAATTCTCAGAGACTGGGCCAGCTGGGTTATTGTACATGGCCAGGATGACAATGTACAACAGGGCAGCCAGAAACACAATCCTTTGAAGATGGGTTTCTGGCTGAGAAGTAACTGTGATCTAAGTAGACACTCTCATCTATTTCACAGATGAAGCTAGAAAGGGAGATGAATCCAAAAGACCTTGTAGGCCATAATGTCTTAAAGTAGGAGAAGATGATATGTGGTTTTGTTAGAGATAGATGGTCCTGTCACTAAATGAGATGAGGAATACAAGAAACAAATTTGCAGAAATTGGAAAAATATAATTTTGGACATATGAATTTACTAGTAATTACCTAATAGACCATACAGATGGAAATATGTGGTAAATTGATGAAAACAAGGTTCATAACTAAGGAGACAGGCAGGCATTTTAGACCAGTTTAGGTTTAGTCATTCAGCAGACTGAACTACTTTTTAACATTTAAAATAAAACATTTTTATAATAAACAAAACAATATATAACTGACTTCCAAAACTGCCCAAATTATGTTTTAAAACATGATATAAATTTTTTTCACATATCTTTAAATGTCACATTTTTTGACAGATTATCCAAAATACTAAATTTTCATTTTAGAACTTACATATTTATCTAACAGAGTACCCTCAATTGATGTTCATTAAGATATCTTCTTTTAAGCCCTAATGGTTTACATCTTCCCTTTAAAATGTGTAAGTATTTTTTAAGTTGTCATCCTCAAAGATATTCTGGAGAAAAAATTAGTAATTAAACACCTATAAATTCTTCTTCATTTCTGTTGTAGTGTAATAATTTATCATCTAATCCATAGTAGTCTATCAACTGAGTAAGGCTGAGTTTCTTGTTCTCCTCAGACATAGCTGACTGCAACTCATGAAGCAACAGTTGACTACAGCTTCTCCACTTCTTTATTAACAACTGTAACTGAGACAGGTCATTCTGAAACAGGAAAAAAGACATATAAATGTATGGCAATAACTAGACAGGCATCATATTTTAACTTAAGTTGTTAAATCAGTGGAGTAGGTTTAAAGGGTACCAACATAATTGATCATGAATGAGCCTTCTACCCAGGGAAAAATAGGGTGATTTTTACAATGACACTCCAATTGAGTTCTAGGGTATTTTGTTTGGTGAGAGCTCTGGGCCTCCCTCAACCCTCAGGGAAAAATCAAAGCATTACGTAGGGCAAAACTATGTAGAAAAGCAACAATAGGTTTCTATTACAGCTGTACTTTTAAAAATGAAATATTCAAATTATTTTTCAGCATTCACTATCTCATAAAACTCAAGTGGCTATATTTAGAAAAATCCTAAAAATTGAAGATAGTGCCCTGGCTGGTTTGGCTCACTGGATAGAGCATCAGCCTGCGGACTCAAGGGTCCTGGGTTCGATTCCGGTCAAGGGCATGTACCTTCGCTGTGGGCACATCCCCAGTGGGGGGTGTGCAGGAGGCAGCTGATCGATACTTCTCTCTCACGATGTTTCTGACTCTCTATCCCTCCCCCTTCCTCTCTGTAAAAAATCAATAAATGTATGTAAAAAAAAATTCAAGATAGCAAATAAGATATACTATTCCATCATTTATTCCATATTGCTAGGGAAGGAGAAATTGCAGATATTTGAATGATCCAGGTAAATAAAGGTTATCTTCTTCCAAGGGCCCAAGTTCTATTTAATTCAATCTATCTGGGATGAAATCTAAAGTATATTTGTTGTTTTTTTCAAACAAAATGCCTGGAACTTTTAATAATTTGGAGGAATAAAAGATCACTACTAAAAATACTTTTTATTATACTCTGTGGCCCATGTTTAACTTTTTAAATCATCCACTATCAGCTGTCACTTCTGTTCTCATTGTACTTGCATCTAACATTTGATATTTCTAATATTGCTACATGCTAAAAAACTTCAACTGCATATTAAACAGAGGGTGGGACTTTTAAAAAGTTGAACCTGGTGTTTAGAGGCCTCTTCTACTTTAAATCTGACATATTTGAGTTAAAAATTGTTGGAAACCAGGTTTCTGAATTCTTGGCTTATTGCTTATTATGCTAAAAGTAATTTTCTCTTTTTGAAATGACTTTCCTATTATTTACCAAAAATAAATCTAACAATTTAAAAAGTAATTATGCAATGACTCTGAAATTATCCTCACCTTTGATCTATACATTTTGACTAGTTTTAGCCTCCTAAGAAGGTCTTCTTTCTCCTGAATCTGTTTCACCAATTTTGCCTTTTCTTCATTTAATCCATTTGGGGGAAGATTCTCATCAAAGTCATTCTGGAGATCACTGCAAGAGCCAGTATCAAGTGATTTAGATTCACATGCATTGATATTCTTGATGGTATTTTTCAAATATGAACTTTCTTCAAATTCACTGTCTATGTGCTCAAAATTATCTTGAAATTCCAAACAATTTTCTTCTGTTGAACATGATGCTTTCTCTGGAAAGGTCTGATCGTTTTCTTCATTCTCTACTTTAAGACGTTTTACCACACTGTAACAGGCATTGAATGAAAATCTAGTTTTCCTCAACCGTTCTCTAAGTGTTGCACTCATAGGCTGTAAAAGGCAGAAAAACATTAATGTTAATAAAAAATATTCTTGATGTAAACAAATCTACTAGAACTAAAGACCTTACATTTCTATGGCACACACCACTATCTAGATGGCTTTCTGTCTCCATAGATCTTAAGTAACCATCACAAAATGTCTTTAATTCCTGGAAGCTCCATTAGTTTTATTTTAGCAAAGTCATCACTCTTCTCCAACAGTGCTGAGACACTTATTCCAGTAATCACAAACATCTGTTCAGCAACTTAGCACATGCCTGACCCTGCTCTAGGTGCTTCAGTTACAAATTTTGGAATAGACCTAGATCCTGCCACCAATGACCTTCATGGCACTGCAAATTCAAACTTCTTCAATTTGTAATAACCTGATCTGAAACTAAATAATTGACTCAAAATGAAATTTTTTTTTGGGGGGGGGGGAGTCAAATACATTATCTTAGATTAAAATCATTTAATACACTTATTCATGCTACACATGATGTTAATTAACAATCTTCAGTAGACTGAAAACCACCACTGCCAGAATCACTAGAAACATAGAACTGGCCCACTGGAAGAACTACATTTTCATACTTGCTTTCTTGAACTACTTGTATGGGGAGATGGTAGACTGGCACAGCCCTGTGGAGTGCGAGGTAAAATCACAGCTGAGTCCGAAGGACTTTCCATCTTGAAAATGTTATCGTGGTTTACTTCTAAAAGACAAAAATAATCACAAAACGGAAATCAAATTAACCCCCATCTCTATAGACTCCCGTCTTTATCAAAGTATTTTTTTATTATAGGTAACATCAGCAAGTAAGCCAGCATCTTCCTCTTCCACTTAGCTGTGATTCATCACTGCTTTTTGCTGTTGTTTTCCATTTACCCTCCTAAACAAGATTGTGTTGGTTCACATGGTGACTACTAGTTTTTTCATGACAAATTAACTAGCTAGCGTCTCATATAAACAAGACTCTCCATTTGTTTTCATGTTCAAAACCTGCCATATGGGGAGAAGAACAACGTTGGATAGTTATGAATTCTTTAATTTCGTTCTGCCAGCTTCATAATGAGAGGAAATAGAACTGAAATCTTGCCCCCAAAGAACATGATCAGACCTGTCCCACCACCGTGAACCTTAAAGGCTGTGCGATTGGAATCAATGGACCCTCCAGGACATAGGCATAAGGAACACAACCGCAAATAAATTTACGCCTGTCTGCATCATTTCCGTTTAAGTAGCGAAAAGACCCTGCAAAGGAGAGTCCACTGAGGTTTGTTTCCCCGAAACAAAGGCATCAACTTTACTGGGGGAGGTGTGGGGGGAGGAGAGGGAGAGAGAGGGGTCGCGGGGAACAGAGGAATCCTCCCTTCCCTCCCACCATTGCAGAAAACCACACTAGCCCTAGAGGCCCCAGGCCCGAGGGCGGTTGAGAGGTCCCCTGACCGCGGAAAGGCAGCACTATTTGACTGCACAGCGGACCCCAAGGCCGTTCAGCTTTCACACAGATACTCGCGAGCTCGGACGCTACCTCCCTCCGCCATCCCCACAGCGACGGGAACCCGCCCAGCCCCGGCCGGGGGCGCTCCGGTTCCAGGGGCGGAGCCTCGCGGGAGGCGGAAACAGCGCGCGATTGGCCG